TTTTGTTCTTTTAGGGATGATTAACATTCAGTATACTATGAGTTCTTGTCAGGGCTGCCGCTACATCATCTTCAGTTACACCTGCTTATCGCTGTTCAAGGTTGACACTGGCACAAAGCTGCAATTTTGTAAACAGAAATCATGAATGCCATGACAAGAAATGCTGCAGTTAGATGAAAGTGTCAGCTCAACTGAGACAATAGAGCACCTGAAACTTTCCCTGCAGATGGTTTTCAGTGATGCTGTCATACTGGCACGTTCCTCCGTTGAGGCAGTTGCAGACACGCAGGATGGGAGTGAAGAGGGAGCTGCCCAGTTTGTCACTGACCTTGATGCTCAGCTGGACAGGCTGGGTACTTAGAGGGGTCCAAGTCAGGTAGCCATTACCTGGACAGGAGAGAACACAAGAGGCTGTAAACACCTACATCACTGAAACAGCATTTCATATTTTTTCATGTTTTGTGTCTTGTGCTCGTCACTCTCAGCATTACAGTCTACTGACTCAGCTCTGAAATGTCCCATCTGCTGACAGACTGCACTGCCGGCTACAGCGGCAGCCTCTCCATCCCTCTAACAAATGTCAACATGTCATCTGTTGACGTTACGGAGAGTCTGAGTAGGTGTCTCACCGCTGTTGATCGAAGCTTGGGGAGGCCTGGGTAAGAGCAGCGAATAAGTGATGTTGTCTCTGTTGGCATCCTCAGCGATGATCTGAACGCTGACCTGGGATTTGACCTGAGAGCGGATCACTGTGGGCTGTGTCACTATGGGAGGCATGTTACCTGCCAGATCACAAAAACACTGTATCTAATTATTACAGGTCAGTGATAAAAATGCACCATTGTTTTTTAGAGACGAGTTCAGACAAGTTTACCTTTGATCAGGGCCAGATTTTGAAATTCTGTCTCAGCTTTCAGAGTCTCCTGGCCCAGTTCAGGAGGAACACCGGCTGCTAGTGTGTCATGGACACATTGCATGCTGCTTTTACAGGTTCTTGTCAGCTCTTCAATCTCAGCAGGACTGATGCTTTTCAGCAGGTTCTCAGTGGGGGTGACCACCAGTGAATTCATAGGAGATAGAGAGGACAATAGGCTCTCTGGGCCTGGGACTGCCCCTAAACACACACACACACACACACACACACACACACACACACACACACACACACACACACACACGATTAAAATTATACTGCATCGTTTAAAAGTACACATACACCATTAGAATTAGCAAATTCTGTTTTATGCTTCATCTCCTGTTATCTTTGGGCCAGAAATGGCCACCTAGTGGCAGCATAGCATTCATTTGGAGTTGTGCTTCAGACAAACTGATGAACATCAAATAAAAACACTCCTCTCAGAAATGATTTGTATTAAGCTAATTCTCAAAATGCCCCGACCTGTTTCTAAAAACAGCAATGATCCACTCACAGGACAAACCAAAGAGATGCAGTTGTTCCTCTGCAGGGGTGCTGACATCCGTCGAGCGAATG